AGTGAGCTTACATCTATGGGCGGAGTGAAAAATATAACAAAAATGATTTGGTGTGTATAACATATCTTTTTCACATGGGAGATGTGTTTTGATGCTTCAAGGAATCATATCACATGCTAAAAAGATACAATATTACATGTGAACAGATTAAAAAAATGAAGGAAAGTAAAGAAAAAAAAAAATTTCTTGTCGCAATGGAACTTTGTGCCTCCTCCCATGTTACAAGTTGTTGTTGGCAGATGATTGTCAAGGTCCCACGATGAGTGCCAAATTGTAGACGCTAAAAATTTATGATTACGGAAAAGATGGATCCTGTGAGGTTAAGGCCTAACAATCTGCTAAACCTACACACACAAAGAGATAAGCGTGAAGCTTAGGGGAAACATCAGGTTAGTGTTTAGTGTAGGCACTCCGACGCTCAAGCCAACAAGGCTAAAAGAGGCTACTTAATAAGAATTAATGGAAAGAAGGATTACCGGGAGTTTTGTCAGAGACCAAGACTACAGCAAAGGCATCATGTTCTCAAGAGCAAGAACATAGGAGCAAATAGGGGGTTTTGAGTAGTGAAGATTGAATGAATTATGAGACAGCAGACCTTCGTTTATATAGTGAACTCAAAGGATTAGAATATTAGTAGGACACTAAGCCCTACTTTGGGAGGTAATCTCTATCAAGAAAGAAAAATGATTTCTTGTCCTTATTAGATTAAGTTTATTAGTTTGAGTATGATTCAGGATCTTATCAAAAGAGGAAATAGAATAGGATTCTAATTTCCTAATTTATGGACTGTTGTAAGCTAATAGGTCGGAACTCAGATTAGTTTAACTTGTAGGATAGCCTAACTCATAAATTGGGCAATTCATAATGTGACTTTAAGCATAAGCCCAAACAAAGTTGGGCTAAGGCCTTAGGCCGTAACATGTTTATTTTGTTATTGAGCCTCATCAAGGCCAAGTCGATTTTTTTCCCATAAACCCAATTAAGTTTCGGATGCATTTAAAAAATGCAAGACCAGATCAAGAAAAAGTTGGTTTTTAATACCCTGTTAAAGCTCGAGTTTGGATGAAATAAGAAGGATAATATTAAAACGTAGTGTATTGACTATCCTTTATCTCATATATGTTAGTTTTTCTATTGAATGAATAAGCCAAATTTTTTATAGGAATGAACTGCAAATAAAAAAAAAAAAAAGCGCGGCGTTCCTTAAAAATAAGGCTCGAAAAGTGCTTGAGTCGGACCTTGATTATATTATATGAAATTTTATAAAATTACATATACCCTTTAAAAAATTATAGGTAACCCTTGAAAAACTACATTGAGGCACCTTCTATAAAGTAATTATAGAAAACCCTAAAATGAACCTTCTTATTTCATCCAAACTCAAGCTCTAACCCTAGTATTAAAAACCAGCTTTTTCTTGATCTGGGCTCACATTTTTTTAATGCATTTTAAGCTTAACCGAGTAAGGACTTTCTTTTTTAAATGTATCCTAGACTTAACCTGGGCAAGCCCAACTTAGGTATTTACGCCCCTAATTTTCTAAGACCTCGATATCTTGAAAAATTATAGTCTCCTAAGGGTTACCTATAACTTTTTAGTGCAATGCTAGTTTTACAAAGACATACAAAGGAGACATACAAAAATAATCTCTACCTTTTATTTTTATGATTTCTCTCTCTCTCTTTCTTTTTCCATTTTTTCTTTGTTTTTTTCTTCTGGATAATGTCACTTTGTAGCCCTCCTTGTATAGGTCTTTGTAAGGATAACATTTTTCAACTTTTTAAGGGATATATGTAATTTGCCGAAGGATTATATGAAATTTTATACATAGTATAACCGGTCCAATCCTAGTACATTCAGAGCCTTACTTTCAAGGACCTGGCTAGATTAGGCCAGGTTTCTTTCTTTTTTTTTTTTTTTTTTTTTTTTTTTTTTTTTTTTTTACCATTCTATAAGAAATTTGTATATCAATTCAATAAAAGACTACAATTTATAAGATATAGGCCCTAGTTAGATTAGGCCAATTTTTTTTTTTTTTTTTTAACATTCCGATAAAGACTTGGTAATTAATTCAATAAAAAGACTAACTATATATGAGATGAGTAATGCTACATTTACACCACCTTTTTATACCATTTTTATACATCATGATGTGACATATGCCATAACCACACAAATTTTATTTAATATTAAAAATTCAAAATAATTAAAATTTGTATGGTTGTGACATATGTCACATCATGATGTATTAAATATGGTGTAAAAGGGTGATGTAAAGTAGCATTACTCGGGTTGAAAACAATTTAAATGAGTAATGTTACTTTACACCACTTTTTACACCATTATTTATATTATGATGTGACATATGCCACAACTACACAAATTCTACTATAATATTAAATTCAAAATTAAAATTTATGTGGTTGTGACATATGTCACCTCATGATGTAATGATATGATTAAAGAGTGGTATAAATGTACATTATTCCATCACCCCTGATCAATCCACTCCATACCTTATTTATCCTAATTCCACTAAAATAAAAAATTAATAAATATTTACTTTTAATTCTATATGTTGAGTGAAAAGTCTTTTCTATTACAGAACTTTTCAGACTTTTGCAATGAGAGTATATATACAAATTTTATTGAAAGACATTTAACAATAATTTAGTATTAATTTTAACAGAAAATGATAAAATTAGATACTCTTGATTTTTTTTTAATTTCTTACTAAATTCAGTTCTTAAATTAAATTTTTTTACAACTAAATAGTACCCAAAAAAACTATTTTAAGAAACCCAAAAAAATTAAAAATTAAAAGGAAATTTAATAAAATGAAAAAATAGAAATATTTGGAAAAAAAAAACACTTTAAAATTTGTTCTTTTAAAAAAAAAAAATATTTTGTTTAGTTTGTATTTTTATTTATTTAAAAAATAATTGATGATATTCTAACCCTTACAGCTTAAATTTTGGTTCAAATGGCACTTGAAATATTATAAAGAGAGAGTCAGAGCACAAACAGACACAAGTTAAAAATTATTGATCATGGCATTTACATTACAACCACCTGCATTAGCATTTACAGAATAATGATGAATTAATCGATTGCAAAAACAAATTATGAAACAACACCAAACAAAACCAAAAACAAAACACATTCTCAAATGCTCCCGCTATTAGACTATTAGTACTAATCTATAACATTTTAACTATCACTGACAGTGGAATGTTTACAACATGCCCTTTATGCCCAAACAGTCCAATCCTTCCGAAGCTCGCCACCGTACTGTTCATCGTCGCGTTGAAGAATACATTCAAGACCTGTTTCTCGCCACTGGCTATCGAGAAATGAGTCGGAGACACCTTGATGGAGACTCCATACGGAGTACTCCAACCAACACTATAATACTCGTCTTTGCCAGCGATATTAATCACTGTTCTTTGGACCGTCCTGGACTGATTCAGTTTTGCAATTGTAATAGATGGCAGGTTCAAGTCAGCACCGGTGATGCAGTAATTGTAAGTCCAGCAGTGCTGACCGATGTAATTCAAGACCACCGGTTGAGATCCGTTAATGCCACAGAGAAATGACATGTAGTCGTCATAACCTGCAATAACAAAGCATATAGTATAAAGATAGGGTAAATTAATGCAGAAAAAACTTGACAAACATTGATGTAATCAAGAAGAGCTCGCACTGAAAGGTGGTAAGGAGAGATAATGTAGAATATCTTGCAATCTGGTAATTTGCTATTGCATCAAACCTCGTCACATAATTAAAATACTTATAGAAGTTGTGAGAACGCATGCACATTAATTTCTTAAGCTAAGGAATCTTGCGCAAGGATTCTATTTAATCTTCTTCATCCTTGCATTTACGTTCCACTTATTATTCAATGAAAATCCTTAAAGGTTTGTTTCATTTTAGGTCAAGTTCCTTTGTTGTTTTTAATGCTCAAAATACATTGCTAATCTTAGTTGTTTGACTGTATTGGAACATGGTTCCATTGATGAAAGCTTGAAAGGATTTCAAGTTGTGGAACTAAAAGGTGTCTTCGGCGTTGCTTTAGTGGAGCTCGAGCTGTCCAGGAGGTGTCTTGGATTCAAGCAAGTTGTGGCAAGACAATGGATCATCCAAAGGCTGAAGTTAGAGTGTTGTGAAAACATCGAGTGTTTTATATTTGTTTGCTTAACTTCAACTTTGTAATGAACTTTGAATGTTTACTAGTGGATTTGTTTTATCTGGAGTTGTTCTCATAGATGTAGGCTATTGGTCGAGCCATGTAAATGTGCTTGTGTGTTTTACTTTATGCTCATGGTTGATATGATGATTATGTTGAATAACTATACCTACAAGCATTATGAACACAATCAACACTTTTCGCATTAGTTTAATGAACTTGGTTAAGTCATAAACTTTCAAAGATAAATTAATTAAAGTGTTTTATATTCAAGTTAAACTAATCTTCATTAGCAGTACTTTGTTTAACAAAACAAATTCCCTTTTCTTCTTTTTTAATTGAAGGAATGTATATCAATAAAACTGCCAGATTAAGGTTGTTATAAGTTGCATAATGTATCTGCTAGGTGAATGTTAAAACTAAAGTCTTCTATTCCAAGGATTATGACCAACGAATAATTTAAGCAATTAACTTAACAGCTTGCAAAGAATTATATGAAGGTTTCTATGATATATGAGGATTATAATGTAATTAGGGTTAATTTAATTTGCCCATGAGATATAATTAAGTTTCAAGCACCCTAACAAGTTTTAAAAAGTATTAGATACCCCCTTGAAATTATCAAAAGCTACTAAAAATATCATAAAACTCCCTTTAAAATGCCCAAAAGACCTATAAAAATATCAAAAAAAAAAAAAACCCTAATAAGGGGTGTTTTTAATACTTTTCAAAAATCACTGCAGCGCTTGTGACTTTGCTATCTCTCAGGCTCAAGGGTTAATAAAATAAATTCATGTATTATAAGAAGAAAAAATAAACGAAAAGCTGATACTTTCGCTATCTTTATTTAATAATAATATTTATTTAGGAAAATAAAAACATTGCAGTACAATAGTCCCCAATGGTACCCTCACTGGTTATTTTATCGATTCAGAAAAAGAGGACTGGCTAGGCATAAAGCCCGCACACGCTAATTAAAAACAAAAACATATTACAGTATGAATTTCTTTGAATAAACGTCAAATCGCGCAGATGATGTCAAGAGAGGCTCCTGCAAGCCAAAAAGCAAATTACCTTTGTTAAGGCTTCATTAAAAAGGAAAAAATGGCAATTTAATTACTTTAGCATTATAATCTATAGTCATATTTTGTGTTTCAAATTCATTGTTAAATACTATTTTATTAACAGTAAATTTTTTTGGGGTTAATTAATAGTAATAATTATTATAGATTAAGCAACTTTAATTACTAAGCTACAGATGATAAAAAAAATATTAATTATCCAAGCATATAATGTATGAGAGAATCAGAATAATGAAACAGGTTTTGTTACTTTTGTACTAAAGTAGGATAAATCCAGCATCAGCTAAAAATATTTAGTCCGAGTTTGAAAATATATATTATTAATTAGCACTAAAATTATCAGTAATTAATCAAAATACCTGATTCGACTGGTTGTTTTTCCGAAATGAAGAGCGGATAGCATTAAGCAAGCGACCGTACGTTAATACAGGTTCATTGTGAACAGTTTGAGTGAAGCTAAAAGTCAAGGCACCTGCCATTTTGCCAGTAAAAGCCTGCATATTTATATATAATTAGAGCAAATTAAGTAGAAATTAATATAATTAATGCCTCCACATATTATCTAATTAATAAAGGTGATTACTCACAGGAGTTCGGGCTGCGCTTTGGTCATCATCACAAGCACTGAAGCAGACGGCCAGGCCACCTCTTGTTCCTTTGTAAATAGGTCTCGGTGTCCCATATGTTTGATCTTCCCACTCATAAAATCCTTCACTGTTCGATCACAGAATTTAAAATTAACAAAAAAATAAATAAAATAATAAAATAATTCATTCATTCACAAGACCACCTTTTCATCCTGCAAATAAGTGGTAGGTCAAGAACAGTTCCACTGTTGCTTGCATCAACAATAGCATGAAGTTTGGCCCCATGGGGCAGCGGCCTTACGATTGTTTCATTGATTTCATCGTCAACAAGTAGTCCTTCAGTCGCGTGATCGAGAGGACACAGTGCTTCATCGAACCCATCAGGTTCGTCTTCGCTGCAGTCGATCTGCCTATGGCCATGGCCCGAGAAATAAAACACTAGGGAATCTCCCGCTTGACAATTTTGTACCAGCCATCGCATGGCTGTCAGGATATTCTGCTTTGTGGGAATCTTCATTGGATCTCTCTCTTCTTCTACACAATTCTTACAGTTATATATTAGCATGTATATATAATTAAAGAAGGTCTTACAACACGTACGTACAAAGCCCACTTATATAAGAAGACGTTTTGAACTTGCAGAAAAAGAAAATCTATGTCTAAGAATCTAGTTCTCACATTAGAACATGTTTTCGGATGAGATTATTGGGTTTTGCATGTTGCCCAGCGACATGCACCAAGTTTTTTCCTAATATTAGGCTACTTGATTTTCATTTGCCCCGGGCAATTACTGAAAGTAGGGGTGAGCAAATTTTTAGAGTAGAACTGGAACCGATGGGTACCCAAGGTGTTGGTTTCAGTTCCAAATTTGATAGAATCGATACTGTACATGTTCGAGTCTAATTTCACCACTTCAGAAACCAGACCTAGAACAGGCACCCAGAACCGAAACCAAAGTCTAAGTACTTGGGGTGGAACCGACTGGTACCCAAGGTGTATTTGTAATTTCTGTAAACAATTGAGGATGTATTTAATTTTTATAAGGTATATTTGTCATTTTTGCGAATATGAGGGATGTATTAAAGTTTGCATAAACAATGTCAGGTACTTGGACTTGGAATTGAAGCTTGCATTTAGGAACCAGAACCAAATGGGCCCGATTCTGGCTCCTAAATCCTAGGAACCGTCAAGTCCAATTCCAAGAGATTGGGTCGGATACCTGGACCCACTCGCCCCTATCTGAAAGTAAGAATATATTCAAATATAAAGTTATTTGACCACTAAAAAGTTATACCTTTTAAAGCTCTTGAAATGATTTTTGTCAATTTCAAAAAGGCTGAACGACTTCCTAAAGTTTGGCATAAAGACATATTGATACCCAAAAAATTTGAAAATAACAAACAAATATTTTCTGTCATATTTTGTTAAAGATTTATGTCATCTAAAAGACAGTATAGTAATTTCATCTACAGTCACAAAATTTTTAAATTTTAAATCTTTTTCTCTGTATCCATTCTCACCCAAGCCCGTTTGCATAGCCCTTTTGCATCATCGATTGATTTTTTGATCGGATTTAGCATTTTTTTTACGAAGTTCGGTGATAAACAGTGGTACTGGCCCTTGCTGGCGCGTTGGGAATGGAGATTGGTGGGTATTCCAGTCTTTTCACTATTTTTGTCTTTTAACAGATAAAAATTCCTACCAAAACATGACGGAAAGTGGGTGTTTGTCATTTTTAAACCTTTTGGTATCATTTTGTCTATACAGTAAACTTTGGGTATGTATAAGTAGTTCCCCATTTCAAAAATTATATTGAAAACCCCATACTCGTCATTTGTCAATTACATACATGAATTCGAATCAGCATCAAAAGGATGAGTGTAACAATTAGTGCCAGAGCAAATCTGTGATTTAATGATTGATTTGTTCGTGATTTGACGACTTTACATGCATTCGAGCTTAGTGGCTCATGTACAAAGTAAGGAGGCATAGACCCCCTTTAAATTAGAATATTTTAATATAGAAACCTTCATAAATTTTATTGTGGCCTTCAAAATATTTAATGCTGTTACTATTTTTTGTATTTTACCTTTTAAAATGTTATATATTCTTAACTTTTAATTATTGATTTATATATTATATACTAATTTTTTTTATTTTTTTTATTTAATTGATTAAAATACTATCATAATTTCAATGAAATCTTGTTAAAGAGCTCTAATGAACTCATCCATAATTATAGATTAGATTCCGCTTTTAATTTTTCATTATTTTTCTTATGTTATACTCTGCTTAGAACTATCTATTGATGTCTTGAATGTTTCTAAAAAAATTTGAAGAATCCATATTTTTTAGTATAGACTTTTAATTATGATATTTTATAGTTTGATAAAATAAAAATTATCACATATGCAAAATTTATTTAAATTATAAATTTCTTATGATGCCCCCTTTCACATAAAGTGTTGAGTTCACCATTTGTCCATGAGGTAGAGTTTATGGCATCACATATCATGTTTTGGTAATTTATCACATATCAATTGGTTAATGATATTTTTATGGTATTAATAAAGAAACAACTATTAAAATGATCATTAGCCAATGAAAATTTCGGTTAGTTTATAAGTTTTTGATCCTTTCAAATAATAAATAAACATTTTTGCATGAAGGCGCTTTTATGAAACTCAAAAACAAATATGTATGTCGATAACTCTTATTTGATTTGTGATCCAAAGATCATTTTCAAAAATTAAAATACAATTCAAAATTTAGGGTTGTATCTTAATATTCTTAATAAAAATGGCTTTGATAAAATATTCAGAAAAAAATAGATAAAAAACTAAAGATAGTGATAAAAATGACTTTTGATCAATTTCTAGTTTTACACTAGTTTTTAAGATTATATCCAAAAGTTGTTCGATCCATTCCTACAAAACACATTTTCATAAGATTCGTTGCATCATTTATTAAAAAAAAATTGTAGATTTTTTATTTGATTATTGGTTATAATTAATTATTAGGATATCTAAATAGATAAAATCTAGAAAAACAACCCAAGTATTATCACCTTCCAATGAAATTATAACACTTTTAATTTTTTTTTTTTCTCTCCTCTATCTTTAAATTAATTATAATTGGTAGTTATTAAATATAATAATTACTTGTCATGCAACTATTGTATTGTGGTAATAGGTAATAATACAATTGTGATACCATAGGCTTTCTCGACCTGAATAACTAGGCGTGTGTATACAAACTTATATATGAAAATGTTTGGAAAAATGTATAAATTTACCTGTAAGCGTGACTACGCACTCGCTAGGAAACTTCAACTTCTCAACGAGAAGATACTTCATGCGCTGAACATCATTGATGCTTCCTTTGAGCTTGTAAGTAGTTTGAAGATAGCTCACTCCACAAAGCACAGCCCTTTTCTTCCCATAAGCCGGAGGAGCAGGCAACGCCGGTCGAGGTGCGGGATAAGTTTCTGTTTGGACAATAGGCATGGTGTTGTTAACAATGTTAACAAGACCGCCAGCTTCATACGGTCGAACCCAGGTGATGGCCCGACATGCAGGGCAACAGAAGGACTGAAAGTGTGGTGGTATATGATGATACACTCCACATCCGCCGCATTGTTGGCTTCTGCTTGCCATTGCTTGCTGGCTAATTTGTGTGTGTTATATGCTGAAATTACACTAGGATTGGTGAGATGGGTTGGATTATTTGGTTATCATTCCCATGTATTTATAGCTGATTAGTGAGTGGAGAAGAATCGGATTCACAACTTTTTGGACGGAGAAACTTTATTTTTAATTTTAAGAAAGCATAGAGAGATAGTGTCGGTGGCCTGCTTTGTGAGGAATCTTGAAGACTTTGTATCCAATAAAAAAACCTACTAGTTTTTGTCACTCGATTTAATCGGATGAGTTCGAATTTATAACAGGTTCCTTGTTAACCACTAATTAATATCTAATATTCTTATTCAGTAAATAGTAATATTCCAGAATTACGTGTCCGGTGATGGAAACAGCCAGCGTCAGGCTCATCTTTAGAAGAAAGATGTTCCAACAAAAAAAAATGCTCTTTGTGTATGTTATAATCGCAAGGAGAAAGAGACTCGTAGAATTATTGGATTACAAAACCATGTTCCAGATGCTCTGTCACCTCAAATTGATCAATAACTTCATTAACGACCCATTCATTCATTATTGGATTACTTTCGGTATTATTAATGCGGTTGTTATCAGAAACCGAGATAAAGGGTAGATCAGTCGTTGTAACATGCAACGAAATGTATTTGCTGGGCTCTTCTAATTGCTGTGTCAATGAAAAATGCAAGCTCTTTGTCATCGTTGATTTCAACGGGCTTATCATATCCGTGAGTGGCGTACTTCACGGTCAACTTCAATGTATATCAATTGTTGTCAATAAGTAATTTTTCATGTAATAATTTCAATAGGCCTTCATGGTTCAAATGTGAAGGTATTCACAGAGCTTTTGTTTTGGATGGTTGGTATTTGTATGAACCATCGTTTTGAGACTCCCACCGTCCTCCATACTTTACAAGAATTCATGTTAAGGATCTCATTTTCCTGAAATATAACAAAACAAAAATACTTTAAATTAGATTTTCCAAAAATTTAGACAATGTCAAGTATGTAAATGTTGAAGAACGGGAAATGAAAACAAAAAAGAGAGTATTTTGATGAATCACTAACTCTGTTCATTAATTCTTAAGTGAATACAAATGTGGATCCAGTTCCATATTTATACAAAAGTGCTGCAGTAACTACTTTTTCGCTACACAGAAAACGGCAGCGTCTTGTAGCTTTATTTTCTATTTTTTCACTGCACAAAAAACGGCAGCGTCTCGTAGCTTCATTCTGGTCAACAATCTCCATTGACTCTGGCCAGTATGCCTTCTCAAACGGAACTACCTCTGATCACCATTCTCTCTTAACTCTGCAAGACTTCATAATACCAATATGCCTTCTCAAAAGAAACTACCTCTGATCACCATTCTCTGGATTAACTCTGCAGGACCTTCATCACACTAATACACCTTTCAATACTACTTTGTACTAAACTAACTTTTCCAGAATTAAAAAAAAAAAAAAATTCCCAGAAAATGTGTTCAATTTTCCTAAAGAACCCAAAGAACTTGAACTTCAAGCACCAGTAGCTTAATACTATTGCAGCTCATTCAACTGAGCTTTTCAGCTTTAACAGCATACTCCAAATCACAACAAAACCACAACTAAGATTTTCAGTTGAACTACAATTCAAGCACCAATAGCTTAACACTATTTGCAGCTCATTCAACTGAGCTTTTTAGCTTCAACAGCATAGTCCAAATCATAACACTAAGATTTTCAGCTTCAATAGCTCCAAACCAAGAAATTAACTGAGCTTTTCAACTCAAATATCAACTGTTAGTGTTTATGTGCTGAAGATAACAAAGAAAAGAATGAGANGTATTATTAATGCGGTTGTTATCAGAAACCGAGATAAAGGGTAGATCAGTCGTTGTAACATGCAACGAAATGTATTTGCTGGGCTCTTCTAATTGCTGTGTCAATGAAAAATGCAAGCTCTTTGTCATCGTTGATTTCAACGGGCTTATCATATCCGTGAGTGGCGTACTTCACGGTCAACTTCAATGTATATCAATTGTTGTTAATAAGTAATTTTTCATGTAATAATTTCAGTAGGCCTTCATGGTTCAAATGTGAAGGTATTCATAGAGCTTTTGTTTTGGATGGTTGGTATTTGTATGAACCATCGTTCTGAGACTCCCACCGTCCTCCATACTTTACAAGAATTCATGTTAAGGATCTCATTTTCCTGAAATATAACAAAACAAAAATACTTTAAATTAGATTTTCCAAAAATTTAGACAATGTCAAGTATGTAAATGTTGAAGAACAGGGAATGAAAACGAAAAAGAGAGAGTATTTTGATGAATCACTAACTCTGTTCATTAATTCTTAAGTGAATACAAATGTGGATCCAGTTCCATATTTATATAAAAGTGCTGCAGCAACTACTTTTTCGCTACACAGAAAACAGCAGCGTCTTGTAGCTTTATTTTCTACTTTTTCACTGCACAAAAAACGGCAGCGTCTCGTAGCTTCATTCTGGTCAACAATCTCCATTGACTCAAGCCAATATGCCTTCTCAAACGGAACTACCTCTGATCACCATTCTCTCTAAACTCTGCAAGACTTCATAATACCAATATGCCTTCTCAAAAGAAACTACCTCTGATCACCATTCTCTGGATTAACTCTGCAAGACCTTCATCACACTAATACACCTTTCAATACTACTTTGTACTAAACTAACTTTTGCAGAATTTAAAAAAAAAAAAAAAAAAATTCCCAGAAAATGTGTTCAATTTTCCTAAAGAACCCAAAGAACTTGAACTTCAAGCAGGGTAGCTTAACACTATTTGCAGCTCATTCAACTGAGCTTTTCAGCTTTAACAGCAGACTCCAAATCACAACAAAGCCACAACTAATATTTTCAGTTGAACTACAATTCAAGCACCAAGCAGCTCATTCAACTAAGCTTTTTACTTCAACAGCATAGTCCAAATCATAATACTAAGATTTTCAGCTTCAATGGCTCCAAACCAAGAAATTAACTGAGCTTTTCAACTCAAATATCAACAACGCTCCAAGATTCTCAAGAGTTCAAAACTTTTCAACTCAACATCAGTCAACATCTGCTTCTGATTCACAGCTATTAGAAGATATCACTTTCAATTTCTTTCTTAAATCAGCAAATTTAGTAACAGACAAAGCCTTTGTGAGCAGATCAGCAATTTGCAACTTGGAAGGGACATATTGAATTTCAATCATTTTGGCTAACACTTGTTCTCTGATGTAGTCAACATCAATTTTAGTGTGTTTTGTTCGGGCATGAAACATTGGATTGGCTGCCAAACCTCCTACGCTCACATTATCACACCAAATGACAGGTGTGCATGCAAATTTAAGGTCAAGTTCAAAGAAAATACTTTGAATCCAAGCAATCTCAGTAGCTGCATGAACTAGTGTCCTATATTCTGCTTCAGTGGAAGAAAGTGCAACAACTTTCTGTTTCCTGGAGCTCCACTGAATCAAATTAGGCCCTAAATAAACAAAAAAAACCACTTGTTGATATTATGTCTTGTAGACTACCTCCCCAATTTGCATCAGCATAACATTCAACTTGCAAAGAGCTTACTGGTTGGCATAACAACCCATGATTTAAGGTACCTTTAATATACCTAAGAACCCTTTTACATGCTTGCCACTATAGGTCTGTTAGAGGTTCCAAAAACTGGCTGAGTTTGTTCACAGTGAAGCAAATATCTAGTCTTGTAAGAGTGAAGTACTAGAGAGCTCATGCAATGCTCCTGTATAATGTAGGATTCTAGAAAGACTCATTGTCAATAGAGAATAGTTTGGTCCCTATAGCCATTGGTGTAGAATTAAGCATGTGCCTCTGTCATGTTGGTTTTAGCAAGAAGATCATAAGCATATTTGATCTATTTCAAATGAATCCCAGCTTATGTTCTGGAGCTTCTGTAAGTTATTTGTCAACTTATGAATCTAGTGTGGTAACTCTAAGTCATGATATGAACAACTCACTTTGTCTTTAGCACAATTGTTTTGTTTAAATTCTGGAAAGACTCACTATCAATAGAGAAAGTTTGGTCCCTACAACCATTGCTGTAGAATAAGCATGTGCCTCTGTCATGTTGGTTTTAGCAAGAAGATCAAAAGCATATTTGGTCTGTTTCAAATGAATCCCAGTTGTTGTTCTGGAAGCTTCTGTAAGTTATTTATCAACTTATGAATCTAGTATGGCAACTCTAAGTCATGGTATGAACACCTCACTTTGTCTTTACCACAATCGTTTTGTTTAAATTTCCAATGTGACCACCTTGTGTTAAAGTGGCTACCTTTTATCAAGTTGTTTATCTACTATCGGGTAAGCACCTCTAAGTCAAAGTGATCACAATGCATCTGCCATGTATTTTGGTTTACACATATTATATTTCTAAATTCCAATGAGCTGTTATTATTCTCTTATGAGATATTTATGTGGTCCATAACACTTGTCAAATTGATATTCAATATGCTGGAAAGTTTATTCTCTTTGATTGGTGGCATCAAGATAATGGAATAAACTTTTTTATAAAGTTGAAATCCATAAAGTTCTTGTTAGCCACATGTCCTTTGCATTGGCCGATTTTTGCTTATATAAACTCTTCTCCAATGCAATTGTTCTTTAAGCCTGATATTTTCCTTGAAAAGTGTGATAAAATATTCTATTGTATTTTATTCAAATAATCAAATAAAATAATAGTTCACCCTATATAAATTTTCACTACTTTATATCTACACATATACCCCTAACTCTATAGACATAACTTCTATCACTCCCCCTCAAGCTAGAGCATATATATCTATCATGCCTAGCTTGTTACAAATATAGGTTACCCTTTTTCCAACTAGAGATTTAGTAAAGAAATCAACTAGTTGTTCCCCTGTTCTAACATGCTTAGTGGAAATTAATTTTTGTTCAAGTTTCTCTCGCACAAAATGACAATCGACTTCTATATGCTTTGTCCGCTCATGAAAAACTGGATTGTTGCTATATGTATGGCTGCTTGGTTATCACACCACAAGTCCATAATCCTTGGATCACCAATTCCAACTTCTATAAGGAGATATC